TTCCCTGCTTCCTGGCAGAGAGGTGTCAGCAGCATAACAAAACTCACAACCATCTTCACTGGTAGGTTTAGCCAAAGGAGAAAGGACAGAGTGGGCCATTGTGAATAAGTTCCTCCCTCCTCCTGAGGGCTGAGGACACGGTGAATCACACAGTCCCTGTGTCTGCCCCCTCATACTTTTTTAGCGCTTGTTTTTAGGATGGGGATCAGGATTGTTATTCAACCAGCCGATCCACTCCATGTGCTACTGCCCTTTTTTTGTATGTTCACGAGAAGAACTGACCATGAAATGCTATGACTCAAAAAACACACAGCCTAGTGTTTTTTTTCTCTTGCTGCCCAGGGCACATCTGTACTTTTAAAGACCCTGCAGTGAAACATTTCACACCTGCTCCATGCTGCTGGGTTCTTGGTTGTAGCCATGTTGGTCTAAGGACATAGGCAGGCAAGGTTCTTTGGGTAGATGTGATCTCTTTTATTAGACCAACTGAGTAGTTGGAAAAAAGCTGTTTGCAAGCTTCTGGGCACAATCACCCTTCTTCAGGCATAGGAAGAATGCATACACCTGCTCCATGTAATAGTGGTGCCTCAATGCAACATTGAGTGTGTGGCCATTAAGCCAAGGGAGAAGCCTGCCTAATCTGCACATCACAGAGCAACCCTGTCACAAAAGGACTCTGAGGTACCCAGAGGAATAAACATCTACCCTCTACCTCCCCTGTCCAAAATGAAGTTTCTTTTCTACCTAGGAGAACTTTTGCAATCTTTGAGTTCTCCTCAGCCTGAAGAAGGGTGTTTGTACCCAAAACCTTGCAAAGAAAGAATATTTTTTGCTGCTATTTAGTTGGTCTAATACAAGATATCACCTCTGACCCAAGAGCTTTGTTTATCTGCCATTAAGCCAGTGATTTTCAACCAGGGTGCCTTGAGATGCTTTCAAGGGTACCATCAGATGGATGTTAGCACCCTTAGTTGTGCAAACAAGATAAACCCAGAAGGTAAAAACAGTGGTTGGATTTTATCAAAGCCTTTTATCCTGGGACCCTACAAACAAGCCAATTGTCCCACTTTAACTACCTGTGAAGTATCCAAGATAACCCTTTTTCTCAGGATGAACACAGCTAATTTGAACAAATTGCTACTTTGGCTGGATTTTGATGCTGGCCAAAACCCAAAACAATCAGACTTGGGATGAACCAGGGGCCCATTTTTTCCCAGAGATTTCAAACAAGAATTCCTAGGGTTTAAACTAGTCTGGCCTGTTATGGTCTTTCCTAGTCCTTTGCAACAGAAGAATTGCTGTATTATTTTTTAGTAGCCAAGAAATGAGTGAAAATGAAGAGCTGGCATTACCCTACAGATGCCTGGATCGCCTCTAGCACAAGAGTTTTGTCTGGAGTCTAACAAGGCATTCCTTCAGTCTAAATGGTTGAGAACGACTGCATTAAGCACCCATGAGACACCTGGCTTATCACTGACTATATCATGACACACGTGGCACAGTGCAGCACGCACAGATTGGATGCACCATGTTTCATGACAGCACCCCCGAGCCTGGTCCTTTGACAGCATAGGCATGCCCCTTTTGTACAGCTATCCAACTTCATTGACTTAAATGCAGTCATTCCTCATTATCACCACCAGAAGGTGAAGTTCAGCCCTACACAGAGATCCATTGCAAAGCCCCAGTGCCGTTCAAAACATAAACCCTATTTTGAAGCGACAAGCAGGTCTTAACTATTACACAGGTTTTGTGCTTGCTCTCACTGCCTATGAAATCAATTCCACCCCGAAGGAGGATTAATGAAGAATGCTTCCTCCGGCAGAAATGAAAGGTGTGGCCACACACAAACTCAAATCACAGCCACTGCAGCTATCTTACAGATAACCCGCTGCTGAAATAAAGACATGAGGCAGCCCTCACAGGTGCAAACCCGGAATGATTCCTACTCATGCCGGTGGTGCTAGACCAGCCTAAGCGACATCAGGGCCAGCCCACCCCAAGCCTGCAAAAATTTCTCCATATCAACTATGCAAGCTATACCCTTCACGGACAACTCTGAAATCATCGAGCAATCCTAGGAGTGTTTATTCTAACCACACATTCAACCCCAAGGCATATTCATTTAGCTTCTATTGATTCTGGCCCACTGAGGACAAATACTCACTTACTGTAATATATTTTAGTTACCTTTCCACTAGTAATTCTGCTTTTCTGGACCTAGTTCAGACGAATGTCGTAGCCACAAAGCACTAATAATTTTAGGAGTCCGAGGAATCAGGGAAGATCACTTTTATATCAGAGCCAGGTGAGGTAGGTCTATTTTTAGCAGCCAGTCACGCAGCAGAGAAGACAATAGCACCCCCAGCCGCTATCTCAGCTAGCTCCTCCTCTGTGCAGGTGCATGTCATTGGTGGAAAAAGCCATATTTGGCCTGCAAACGTTTGTGAGTTTCAACATGAGAAAGCTTCCTTGTTTTTAACAGCCGCAGGAGCACGGAAAGTCTCGTAAACAGCAATTGAGAGTAGTTGCTGGACTTTGAAACCCAGATAACCTAACACCATGTGACCTTTGTTTGTTCAGGTTTCTTTGTCTACATATGGGCCTTGATAGGTTATTTCCATGAGGAAGAGAAATAGATGATACCTTTTAGGGTGACCATCTTTTCAAAAGGGAAAGGCAGGACACTGCTTCACCTGCTCCCACCCCTCTCCCCATCACCCCCGCATGCCCTTCACCCCCTGGACAAGCTGTCCATGGCTCCATGCCGCTCCACGCCCTGGCCCCATGCACAACCCTGGCTACGCCATGCCCCCATCCCCTGCCCCACTCCCTCCCTCATCGTGGGGCCTTAATCTGTCCACAAACCCACCCCCACATATCCCCTCTCTACCATAGACTTATCTGCAGGAAGCTGCTCCCCAGGCCACCTGGCTGTGATCCTGACCACATGCATGTGTGCAGGCATATGGCACCCTGAGTCCTGCTCCCAACACTCCTTGCAGGCTGGAATGCCGCCAGCCTGCAAGGGGAAACCTGCCCATTTCCTATGGATCCCACAATGCTGCAAATCTGGGATAAATGCTGTCCCGGAGTCATGCAGCCTAAGACTGGGACTTGAGGTTCCCATTCTAGGACTGTCCCACCCAAGTAGGGTGGTCACCCTAGATACAACCCACAACTTTTCTATCTAGGATGACACAGAGCCCTGTTGGACTGAACACAGTAGGAAGTTCCCTTCTCAGAAATCCAAGCCTCCCTTTCCAAGAAGCACTGTGACTTTCAGCTACACTGTCTCCCGGTTTCTTCCCAGGGCCAGGTTAGCCATCAACCCCTTCCTCTCACCTGTCTTTTGGCTTTTTCCTCATTCATGATGCTGCAAACAAAAAAACCCCCTAGGCGCTATGTGGCATAAACAGTCCCAATTAAAGCCCAATAAAGCTCGCATCTAGTGTACACGCCCCTGCCTCCAGTGACCAACTTCAGTGCCATACAAGCACTACCCACATCTTCGGGCAGCTCCACTCATTAACAGTGCCACCAGAGTATGACGTGCACCCTAGGGAGGCACCCATTGCTTAAGGGATCATGGCAGCAAGCACAAGAGCAGAGGTAGCACCAGTAGAGATCTTGCTCCACTCAGCAGAGATGGAGTATCTCCCAGCAGAGTGGTAGTTTCTGCAAGCTCAGAGGAGCTTTGAGTATGCAGGACCTCAAACCTTTGCTGACAGAACTAGACGGGAGCAGGCCTCAGCTTTGGTTCGCCCTCCTAAGCAATTCATGGTCTGGTGCAGGGGCGGGCAAAATACGGCCTGCGGGCCGAATCCATCCCACCAAGCCATTTTATCTGGCTCATGGCACACCTAAAAAATTCACAAATATATATTTCTCTGCTCCTGACTCCTGTCGAAGGTTAAACAGGAGCCCCTGGTGCTGATCCTCAAAGGAAGAGACAAAAGAAGAGGCAGCAAAAACCTAGAAGGAATGAGAAACCACTTACATGCTCAGAGAGCCAGAAGCACCAATGCTGTCATCCTGTGGACCCATCCCAGCTTAGGAAGGGGAGGATGGAGGGAGAGGAGGACAGGGGTGGATGGGGAGGGGAGGAGTCGCAGTTTCACCGCCTGAGGGCGAAGCAGCAGGGCAATACCCAGGCGAGGTTGAACCTGTGGGAGAAGGGGCACAGTCAGAACATGCTCAGGGGGAGGGTCCAGGTTAGGCGAGAAGAAACTAGTGTGAGTGGAACCGGGTGGACCTCGGCCCTCCGCTCACCCCTAGGGAGCAACCACGGGGTAAAGGAGAGTCTCCCCAGCAGCAACCAGGACATGGCTCTCGCACGTGGCTGAGTGGAGCTTTCTGTCCCCAGCCGGCCTCACACCTGGGCCAAAAGCTCAGAGCTCCAAGCCCTGGGGTGAACCCCTGGCAGCAGGGTCCTCAGGATCAAAGGTGGACAATGAGGTCAACCCCAGGAGATAGCCGGTCCATACAGGGCACTAGGGCCCTGGAAGAGAGGCAGGACAGGTTACCCTGACCAGCCTGGAGGCAGGAGGCACCCGATCATCAAGTGGGCTGGAGGGACGGCCCCTCAGGCCTGGGGCACTCACCTCCATGCTGTTCGCCCCCTTCTCCTCCTCCCCTCTGCCGCAGTGTCAGCACTGGAGGTGGGAGGCAGAGACATGGGTCACATCGCACACACCCCAAACGCCCAGGCCCCTGCCACTTCCACCAGCCCATGCCCCGACTGGCCCTGGGCACCCTCCCACACCGAACTCCCTTCCTCCCTCTGTGCTGACTGCACCTAGATCTGGCTCCTGGCTGCGGTCTTGATATACACAACAGGGACGGCTCCCGGCACACAGCGCTCAGGCCTGCACTGCCCCTGCCCCGGCCCTAGCCCCACCTACACACCCAGGGCACTGGAGGGACTTGTGGGCAAGGCACTTCCTGAAGACACACCAGTCATTTCCCCTTCGCTCCTCTCTTCCCTCCCAAGGCCTCCAGAGCTGGGAGGGAACCCAGGGGTGCTGGCCCTCGACCCGTCCTTCTCCCAACCTGCGAGACCCTTCCCAGGACCAGGGAACAGAGTCCTGGCTCCAGCCCCTTCTCAGCTCCCCTCACTGACCCCACGCTCACAGCCTAACACTAGGAAAAGCATCATGCTTCCCGGGTTTAGAGCCACTTATGCTTCTGGACTCACTCATGGATTTGGCCTACATTTGTCTGGGAACACGAAACCTCTCTTTAAAAACCAGAACAAAACTGAACTTAATAAACTAGGAAAAGCATCATACCATTCCCCCTGTCCTCTCTTTTTAAGACCATGCTCCATCTTGGTCCTGGCCTCTATCTCCGGAAGGGGGTTTGTCTGGCACCCAATGTTAGCCAGGCAGAGGGCCCTTGTCTGGGTGCAGATGTCTAGGTGCCCAGGACCCTCTGCCTGGGTGCTGGCCTCCTTGGAGAGGGGCATGGTGGTCTGGGTCCACTCCGTGATCCCCTCAGAGGGGGATTTGCTCCTGATTACACAAGTAGCAGCTGGTCAGAGGTGGATCATGCACTGAATTCAAGCCCGACAACCCCTATGAAGGAAGTACTCCCCTCCCTGCAAACACAGCTGCTCCCAGTGCCTCCAGCCTACTCTGCAGCTCGGACAATGCGCACAACACCCCCAGTCCCCCACAGGCCCCTGTGGGACCACCTCCCTGTCCCCTCCCTGTCCCCATCTTATTCCCACAGGACTGGCAAGCTCTCCCAGGCCATCCCCTCCTGTTGCACAAGCCCACCATCTACCCCTCCCCACAGCCTCCTGGGACTTCATACAGTCTGGGGCAATCCCCTCCCAAGTTTTGGTCCCAATGCCGCCTGAGCGGACCCAGAGGCCCAGAGGTGAGGGACTGGCACCCTGTGAAATAGGCATCATGGATCATCCTGACCTGCCTGGAGGCAGAAGGGGCCCAGATCATCACCCAGTTGGTTCCCATCCACCTCGTATCCCAGGCTCACAAGCTAACAGTATGAAAAGCACCATACCTCTCCTTGTGTCCAGCCGCTCTCTGACACCGGCAAGCCTTGGTCTGTGTGCCGGTGTCTATCGTAGCCAGGGGGTCAATCTGACAGCCCGCATCCTCCAGACAGAGGGCCCTGGTCTGGGTGCTGGCATGCTCCTGCCCAGGGCCCTCTCTCTGGGTGCTGGCCTCCCTGGTAATTGGCAGGTTTGTCTGGGTCCCTTGCTCCTCCACCTGGCGGGGGCTAATGCTCCTGATTGCACAAAAAGAAACTGGTCAGAAATGGGCCCTGGACTGAATTCATCCCCACCAGCACCACACAAGGGGCAACTCCCCTACCTGCACAAAGCACCACATGCAACATCCCATAGCCTGCGCCAGAGCCCACAAGCTAAGCAGGCTAACCCTCCCCTCCCTGCCCCACACTTACCCCCTCCAGGGCAGCCAGCACCCCTCTGCCACATCCATGGGAGGCTGTTGGACATGAAAAAGCAAAATGGCAGAGAGCAGAAAACCAACCCCCTGGCCCAGGGCTGGCACCTGGCGGACTCTGGGGGGAAGCTGGGGGCAGCAATCCCCAAAGCAGGGGAGGTCAGTGCAGCACACACATGTCACCCCACCGGTCCCACACTGTGACATCCACAAAGCTCACGTTGTGCCCATCACTGCACACACAAGCCCTCCCCCCACAGAGCCTAGGCACCCCCTGTCCCCTCTACTGCAGGGCCTGGCACAGCAAGGGACAGCCTTGCCCTGTGCACACACAGGCACACACGCACCCCCCTTCTCCCTGGGGCAGGGGCATGCAGAGCGGCTCACCTCCGTGGGGCTGTCCTTCCCAGCCGGGCCCTGCTCCCCCTGGGCCTTGAGGGCCAGCAGCAGGCACGTGTTGTAGCGCTTCAGGTCCTCCACTTGGGCCTGAACGAGAATCACCCCAGCCCATCACACCGTGCCCACGGCTGCACCAAGAGTATCTGGCCTCTGCACCCATCAGCGGTACCTCCCTGGGCACCCATCAGCCCCCACCTCTCCCCCCACGCAATGTGTCAGGACTCTGTTCCCCGCTTTCACATCCCCTGGCATTTTACGCTGCCTGGCCATGCTTGGCCTCCTCTGCCCCCTGCAAACTCACCAGGAGCAGCTCCTCCCTTTGCCGAGCACTGGGGACACAAAACACATTTTCAGGCTCAGAGAGACTGACAGTGCCGTCCCAGAAACCACCCTTCCCCAAGGACAGATGCGCAGAGGAGCAGGGATGGGCCCAGGGCTTGTGCCCCGACCCCTGCACCGCACACCGGGAACACTCAGCTCCCTGCCCAGCCCCACACCTACCGGGACAGGAGGACCGCCGTGTCCCGCTCCTGTTGGGCCAGCTGGGCCCTGAGCGCTGTCAGCTCCAGCTGCAGCAATCGAAACGGTGCGGGTTAGAGGTCTCACACCACGACCTGTATGTCTGTGCACGCAGCCAGCTCTTGCCCCAATCTGTCCCTCTGCCCCTGCATTCGCCCTCCATCCCCCAGCCCAGCCCTGGGCTTGTCCCTTTGGTCCACCCCTCCATGCAGGTGTCATCCAGCCCACTTGGGCTCCCCACAGCCCCCACCCTGCCTCGGTCCCTCTCACCTGCTGCTGGCGGTGCCCGGTGAGGGGTTTCTCCTGCTGGGGAAGGAAAGAGCAGCTGGGGCGATGGACTCCCTTGGGCAGTGAATTCCCCATCTCCCCCGGGTGCAGGGCTGGCGGCCCCCAGAGCCCTGGGCTGGGCAGGGCTGCTAGACCTGCGCCCTGGGGATCCCTGGGGCCGGGTGCTACCACCTGTCTCAGGGGAGTCCCCACCTCTCAGCTGAAGATCCCAGGTCCCCTCACACACAGATTTGGGAAGGACTGTGACTGTGATCGGGGGACAGGGAGGACAGGGAGACTCTCCCCCGGGGTATCGTGTGCAGCATGGGGCTGGGAGGGGCACAGGACATCTGGTGAGAGACCCTTGCCCCCCGTCCCCCCAAATCCTCCCCCCCCCGGCATCCCCTGGGCAGGGGACAGACTCACAGCAGCAGGGGGGTGCGGCCACATCTGGCCCCTGGCAGCGCTGCCCGGCACAGCTGGGACGGCCTCGCCCGCCCCTCCACCTGCCCCCACCGCTGCGCCTGCACCTGGTCCTGGTCCTGAGGGGAGACAAGGGGCCACACGTCAGCTGGGCCCACGCTGCTGCCAGGGCACAGGGCGACCAGCCCGTCCGAGACACACGTGTGGGGGCAGCTGCCAGCAGTCCTGCGTGCCATGAGGGCAGGGCCCTCCTCCACGGGGGTCAGGTGGCAGTCCCTCCAGGGAGCAGGTCTGGGAGAGACCTCAGGGACGTGGCTGGTCACCTGCGATGCAAATGCCCCCAGCAGGCGTGGGTCCCAGGGGACAAGGGGATGAGGGGCAGTAACGCTGGGGAGGGGTCTCTGGGCCCCCAACAGATGTCTGGAGCGGGGGGAAAAGTGCAGGGAGGTTGGGAGTAGCTGGGCCAGTGCAGCCCCCCGGGAATGGAGGCGGAGGAGGGAGAGGGGGTGCCCTCATGCAGAGACCATGCCCCCTCCCCATGCAATTGCACAAGCCCCACCAGCTCAGGCTGCCCCAAACTCACCAGGTGCAGGGTCCCTCCTCTCCGCACCTTCCCCCAAGGAGGGCACGCAGGGGGAAGCTTTAATTGGGGGCAGTTTGCCCCTTGCCCACCTGTCTGCCTCCAGCGTGGCATCTGGTGCTGCGGGGAGAAGAGGGCTGTGCATCAGGCTGCGGGGACTGAGCACCCATGTGAGCATGGGGGTCCCAGAGCCCGTGTGCGCCCCACCATGCAGGGGAACAGAGGGCAGCAGGGCCATTGCAGGGAGACTCCCAGGGCAGGGGCAGGGCAGGGGCTGCAGGGCAAGGACATGGCTCAGCGTGTGGAGCCCATGGGGGCCAGTCCTGTTCCCCTTCCCCGGGAGCTTGCTGCTGAAGAGCAGGGGGTGACAGCCAGAGGGGCAGGGAGCTGGGGCTGTGCACATTGGACCTGGGACAGCGTGGGCTTGGCCTGCCGGCTGGGAAGAGAGGCCACGCAGCCCTGAAGCCTCCCCTGCTGCCCAGCCCCCATTGCTCCTACGGGGGCACGTGCCCGGTCTCACCCAGGGTGCTGGGGCGCAGGCGCACGGGGGGCAGCTTCTCCCGCCGGAGCGTCTGCCACGA